GAGGATGTTCTTGATGATGGATGTGTCCCGAACCAGGGGTCACAGTAGGAGGATTTGGGGTAGATGATTTAGGATAGAGTTGAGGAGACATTTCTTCACCCAAAGAGTGGTGACCCTGTGGAATTCATTACCACAGGAAGTAGTTGATACCAAAACATTAAAGGACTAATGTCCCTTAGGGAGGGAAACTGCTATCCTTATCCAGTCTGGCCTACATGTGACTCTAGACCCACAACAATGTGGTTGACTCTGAACTGCCCTCTGGGCAATTAGGGATGGGCAATAAATACTGCCTAGCCAGCGATGCCCTCATCCTGTAAATGAATAAAAAAAATTGAATATATTCAAGAGGTGACTAGATATAGCACTTGTGGTGAATGGGATCAAAGGTTATGGGAAGAAAGCAGGATTAGACTATTGTGTTGGACAATCAGCCATGATCGTGAAGAACAGCGGAGCAGGCTCGAAGGTCCAAATAGCCTCCTCCTGCTCCTATCTTCTACGTTTCTATGTTAAATTGAAGATACAGTGATTTAGAAATGCATAAGAACATATCATTTTCTTTGGCTTAGCCAGTAACAAGTTTCCCAGAACTGCTTGTGCAATTTGTTTGCCTGGCAACATCTATGGAGACAAAGCAGAGTTAACGTTTCCAGTCCAGTGACCCTTCTTCAGAATGGAAGAAGGGTCACTGGACCTGAATCATTAATTCTTCTTTCTCTGCACGGATGCTGCCAGACTTGCTGAGTTTTTCCAGCAATTTCTGATTTTGTTTCTGATTTCCAGCATCTTTTTTTTTTCATTGGTGGGATGTGGGCATCACTGGCTGGCCAGCATTTATTGCCCATCCCTAGTTGCCCTTGAGAAGGTGGTGGTGAGCTGCCTGCTTGAACCACTGCAGTCCACCTGCTGTAGGTTGATCACAATGTCATTAGGGAGGGAATTCCAGGATTTTAACCCACCGACAGTGAAGGAATGGGGATATATTTCCAAGTCAGGATAATGAGTGGCTTAGAGGGGAACTTGGAAGTGATGGTGTTCCCATATGTCTGCTGCCCTTGTCCTTCTGGATGGAAGTGGTCGTGGATTTGCTGTCTAAGGATCTTAGGTGAATTTCTGCAGTGCATCTTGTAGATAGTACACACTGCTGCTACTGAGCGTTGGTGGTGGAGGGAGTGGATGTTTGTGGTTGTAGTGCCAGTCAAGCAGGCTGCTTTGTCCTGGATGGTGTCAAGCTTCTTGAATGTTGTTGGGGCTGCACTCATCCAGGCAAGTGGGGAGTATTCCATCACACTCCTGACTTGTGCCTTGTAGATGGTGGACAGGCTTTAATGAGTCAGGAGATGAGTTACTCGCCGCAGTATTCCCAGCTTCTGGCCTGCTGTTGTAGCCACTGTTTATGTAGTGAGTCCAGTTGAGTTTCTGGTCAATGATAACCCCCAGGATGTTGATAGTGGGGTATTCTGTGATGGTAACACCATTGAATGTCAACGGGTGGTGGTTAAATTGTCTCTTATTGGTGATGGTCATAGCCTGGAATTTGTGTGGCACGAATGTTATTTGTCATTTGTCAGCCCAAACCTGGATCTCATCCAGATCTTGTTGCATTTGAACATGGACTGTTGCCCCATTGTCTGAGGAGTCATGAATGGTGCTGAACATTGTGCAATGATCAACAAACATCCCCATTTCTGACCTTATGATGGAGGGAAGGTCATTGATGAAGCAGCTGAAGATGGTTGGGCTGAGGACACTACCCTGAGGAACTCTTGTGGAGATGCCCTGGAGCTAAGATGATTGACCTCCAACAGATCTTTGTTTTTTTGTTCAATTTGTTTGCCAGTTGGGCAACAGATTACAACTCTGATGAGGAAAGGTAAACAGTTTAGATTTGACTATTGCAAAGATTGAAAGTGAATCCTTGTGGGAGTTTCAATAGGGAACATGATATAAATTTGACAGACAAACTGATTGTGGAGGTGAGGGATTATGGAAAATGTTCGATTGTTTTTCGATTGTTGGAACTAGCTTGTTTAACTGCAATGTACTCATCTCGTCATGTATATTCTTATGTTCTCTGTACAAAACATGAATTGCATCCATGTATGTAGAGGGAGATTGCTCAACCCCTTAGAGGAATGGGTCTGGTAATGCAGTGGTAATTCCCTGTTGGAATTTACACCATAAAGTGATCTCACTTTTTAGCAGAAGTAGATTTTTAGCAGATGGGCAATCAATTAAGATGTCTAAGGTCTAAATTAGTTACAATGTTCAGCGACAACAGCAATTTGCTGCTGGCACATAGATGCCCTGCTGTGCTCAGCATTGTTTTGGAGGCAGGTTTATGTGGGCAGGAATAAAGGGAGATTGACGGACAATAATAACTGAAACGTACACTGATATCAGCATTCCCAAATACTGAAAATAGTGCATCTGTGACAAAATGTATCCATGTGAAGGCATTTTCCCCTCCACACTGATTGCCCTGTCAGTTCTGGCCCTTCCTTTTAAATATGCAGTCTGAATGCTTTTGTGAATTGACTCTTTTTTTTGAAGTACCATCTTAGTTTACGTGTGCATGAACAACACTTGCCTCTTCCAATGGGACTGAAAGTCATTAGGCCCTCTGATTGGACCTCACCATCTGTGTCCCACTCAGCATCTGAAGTGCAGTTGGCTAAAGAGGTGTTGTGTGTCTTATAAAGTATCAATTTAGATAAGTCCCTGGGTCCTGATGGGATCTATCCCAGAACACTGAGGGAAGCAAGAGAACAAATTGCTGGAGCATTGACAAACACCTTTATACTCTCTTTGGCCTCAGATGAGGTCCCAGAAGACTGGAGAATAGTCAATGTTATCCCATTGTTTAAGAAGGGTAGCAGGGATAATCCAGGAAATTACAGGCTTGTGAGCCTCACATTGGTGGTAGGGAAATTATTGGAAAAGATTCTCAGGAACAAGATCTATATGCATTTTGAAGCAAGTTGACTTAATAACGGTAGACAGCATGGTTTCGTGCAGGCGAAGTCATGTGTCACTAACCTGATTGAGTTTTTTGAGGAACGACGAAGACGATTGATGGGGGAAAAGCAGTTGATGTTGTCTACAAGGACCTCAGTAAAACCTTTGAGAAGGTCCTTCATGGAAGACTGGTACAAAAGGTGAAGTCTCATAGTATCGGGGTGAGGTGGCAAAATGGATACAGAACTGGCTTAGTCATAGGAGACAGAGGGTAGCGGTAGAAGGATGCTTTTCGGAGTGGATGGCTGTGACTAGTGGTGTTCCACAGGGGTCAGTGCTGGGACCTCTGTTGTTCATGGTCGACATAAATGATTTGGCGGAAAACATAGCTGGCCTAATTATTAAAGATTGATGGAGTTGCAAATCGTGAGGAGGATTGTCAAAGGATACAGCAGGATATAAATCAGTTGAATCCAGACAAATGTGAGGTGATGCATTTTGGATGGTCAAGTACAGGTGAAAAGTATACAGTGAATGGCAGAACCCATAGGAGTATTGATATGCAGAGGGATTTTGGGGTGCAGGTCCACAAATCAGTGAAGGTGGCAGCGCAAGCAGGTAAAGTCATAAAAAAGGCCCATGGCATGCTTGCCTTCATTGGGAGGGGCATTCAGTATGAGGATAGACAAGTTATGCTGCAACTTCATAGAACTTTAGTTGGGCCACACTTGGAGTATTGCATACAGTTCTGATCATCACACTACCAGAAGGATGCGGATACTTTAGGAAGAGTACAGGAAAGGTTTACCAGGATATTGCCTGGTTTGGGGGAGTTTTACCTATGAAGAGAGGTTAGATAGTCTGGGTTTGTTTTCACTGGAACTCAGGAGGTTGAGGGGCAACCTGACAAAACTTTATAAGATTGTGAATGGCATGGATAGAGTGGAACGTATGAGGCTTTTTCCCACGGTGGAGGGGTCAATTACTAGGGACACAGGTTCAAGCCACGGGCAGGGGAGGAAGTTAAAAGAAATGTGCAAGGCATGTTTTTCATAGGAAGACTAGTGAGTGCTGGAATGCGCTACCAGAGAAGGTAGTCAAAGCAGACACAATAGCAGCACCCAAGAAGCACCTGGACAAATACATGAATAGGAAGGGAAAAGAGGGATACAGATCCTGTAAGTGAGGACAGTTTTAGCATGGAAGGGCAAAAATGTGTCGGCACAGGCTTGGAGGGTCAAAGGGCCTGTTTCTGTGCTGTATTATTCTTTGTACTTTGAGTTGTCTGTTTCCCTTTAATATCTGGCAATGGGCATGCCATTAAGAAACATTGGCTCAGATCCTGCAAACAGTCCTAACACCTGAGAATGTTATAGATCCTGACCATAGTTCCTGCTCAGATTTTGGTGGTGGCAGGCCCATGTTGGCATTCCCTATAATTGATTATGAATGTCTAAGCTATGAAATACTTTGCTCATATAGCTTCTGGATGTGTGAATTGATAATTGTGCAGCAAGGGCAACCAAATACCTTCATAAAATGGGAGAACTGTCTGTGAGGCTACCAGTTCGTCCAAATAATCTTATTGAGGTCTCATTTTAGTCATGTTTCAGGCTTGCTTGTATAGGCTTTATTACTCATGATGGGCCTAAGGAAATTTCCACTCTGAATATCCCAAATCGATATATTTTTAGAGTTATTTTGGGTTGGCATTTCAAAGACTTTTATAATTTAGCAGCCAATTAAAATATGAAAAAAATTCAAACTAGAAATATGAATAGAACATGGACTTCTATTATTTAACAGCCTCATATCATTTTGTGTATAGATTCTGATAGTGTGTTAGTGACATAACAGCCAATAAAATATTAGTCAAAAGGTGATGCCTGAAGAACACTTGAAATGTTCAGCACACAAGCGAGTGTTATTAATCCATTAGTAACAACAGGAAGAGTCAGGGTTATCTTTCAGCTTGAAGAATAACTGATTTCGTAGTCATAAAATAGAACAACAGACACATTTTTGTTTATCTTTTGTACCTGACACAGAGTCGTCATCATAGTTTCCAACTCCATCCATATGTCCATCAGAGTAACTGATGTAAGGAGAATGATTTGTTGTTGTGTCTTGGCTTGAAGTTAAAGCAGGTTTCTTTGGGAATGAGCTACCTCCTGTATTTAGATTTATTCCAGCGTATGTTTTATGTTCCTCAACAGTAGTTGAATGTGGGGCTGGATGAAGCACTGGTATAGTCTGATCATTTGCTTGTTGTGGTGATACCTCGGTATCCTCATCATCACTGATCATTACTAATTCTGCTCGGATAGCTCCTTCGTACCCCAAAACCTTTTTGGTTTCATTTTCGTCATCTACATTGTGGTATCCCATGAAGACCATGGTAACTGGCTCCTCAGCGTTAATAGTTGAAGGCAATGAATGGGCAACATTCAAACTAACAACCGTTTCTTCAGAAGCGGAAGATGATCCACCATCATGATCGAGCTCTGAAGTGATAAACACAGCCTCACGGTGGTTGTCCCTTGGTTGATGGCATTCAACTTGGACTGAATTCAGCTCATTCTCAGTTAACTGTGACTCAATATGTTGCTGACTCTGACTTTGTGTTGAGTTCAGAGATCTGTAACTGGTTACTGGTGAGAAGGGAGCAGGTATAAATGATGGCTGTGGAAAAACAGGCAAATCCCTTTCCTGATACACCACAGGGTTGTTACTTCCATAAGTTTGTGCCCTTACAGGGTTATGCCTCTCAACTCTTTCAATTATTGTCGTGTTATTTTGCACAATTGATTCTGATCCCCTCTGCTCAGTGGGTAGCATTTTATGAGATTGGAGTTTAATGTGGGAACTTGAGTAAACAGGTGCATGGCAAACTGCCGAAACATTGGCTTGTTTTTCACCAGCCTGCTGTAACAGTGCCTCCACTTCATCACGAGTCATGCTATCTACGCCATTCTGCACCAGGCCTCCATCACTGCATAATGCATACACAGACTTGACTCCATCTTCATAGACTTTAACACCTTTGTTTTCAATTTCATCGACCAAAACTGGCGCAGTTGACAGAATGGTGCTTTCTCCAGTCTTCATATCCTTTTGAACATTGATTTCCACGGCAAATAATGCTGTTAAGAAAATATTTATGTGGGTTAGTACTTCCATTAGAGAAGACCTTTGTAAAATGTGAAATAGCTGTTAATGTGATTTACTAATCATTAAAAATCATCACATATTGTTTCGTAAAGAACTTTATGTTCTCTATACTGTCAGGTATGGTTATTAACTCTTGCTCATTTTCCGAATCCTTCTCACGACTAATCGGCCAGCCAAATACACACACACACACACACACACACACACACACACACACACACACACACACACACACACTCACACATAACTTAGCATTAGACTGCTAAGGAAAATAATTACTTTTACTGCAAAGACACCAAATTGGACCATGCATCTTTGCTGGAAGGATCAATCATTCAAATAATAGTACTGATGGTTCCATCATTACTGGCTTGTTCAACAAGAACCAATTTGGACTTTTTTTAACTGGAATGTCTCATTGTGAAATGTGGACTCAAATTTAATCAAAACTAACAGCATGCCTTTGGGAAGGTAGTAACTGGCAGAGTGTGATGTCAAGCAGGATTTCTTAGCTCTGGTCTCAGCAACTCAGAAATGGTGTTATTCGGCATTATAGATGAGTTATGCAGTTCTGTTGGTTATAATGTTTGGCTGCAAGTATACAGGATATCTAAGTCCTTAGAACAAGAGCGAAGTCTGTTGGCATAAGGTATCATGACCAGAAAGTCTTGAACTTTGGGGATCAATAAAAAACTCCCAAATGCCAAGGTCAAAAGAAGAATTTGACAGTTGAACCTAAAATCAGCAAGACATTGTCATTACAATAGTTAACGAGACTTAACATTATAAAAACATTTAATAATTCAAGCGTGGAGGAAGTTATCTCCAAGAACATTGAAATTGCTGTGGCCAATATCAGAATGACAATATCTAACTATTAACTACTAATTTTAATATCCCATCTCTCTATAGTGAAGCAGCAGGTTAAAAAAGAGAGGAGATGAGTATTTCTTTTAAGGCAGTGAGTTGTTAAGATTTGGAATGCTTTGCCTGAAAGTGTGCTAGAAACTGATTCAAGAGTAACTTTCTGAACAATATTGGATACGTGTTTGAAAATAAAACATTTGCAGGGCGATGAGGGGAATAGGATGAACTGGATAGCTTTTCCAGAGTGGTCTTTCAGAAACACAATCATGAAGGTCTGAATGGCATCTTTCTGTGCTATGCAACTGTACAGCTCTATAATTAATCTAAAATAGGAAAAAATAGCTATTGTTACAGATATGGATGAATTATTTGTTTAATTATGAAATATACTATCATTTAAATTTGAATCAATATCTAACCATCTAAACTGTACCTCCTTTAGGCTCCTCAAGGTCCTGTGTCTCAATGTCTGGACTTGGTGTTCTCTGCTGGTCCTGAGATTCAGATGATTTTGGTAAGTCTGGAATTTCTGAGTGTACAAACTTCACTTGGTCTATGAACAGTAACAGAAACAATTAATAGACAATTAATAGGATATTGTTGCAAAAGAATATGAAAGAAAAGTTTACATTCTTTCTCATACCTTCATAATTCTCAGCCTGTGCCGCCTGTAAAGAGACAATTGTTCAGATTAATTTTTGTGATTTCTCAAAACTGAATAAGCTAACTTAAATAGTACAACAATACTACACATAGGATGCTTTCTGCAGGTACAAGAGGTTTTGACCACGTAAGTAACATCCACAATTGTCTCAACTCATTGATGGCAATAGATTCTTCAAATGCAAGTGGTTTAAGCAAGTTGTCCACAGAATAATAAAACATAAGTAACACCCTGATATGTTTAAATTACCATTCAAATACCTATTGAAAAGACCTATTAATGTACTTGGTTGTTAACATGCATAAAACATAACATTTCAGTTTTTAGACGGTATGGTTATACTTTGGACCATGTAGACTGTTGAAAGTGAATGTGGGTAGCACTGCCTGAGCCACCATTTATTGCCCACCCCTAAGTGTCCTTGAGAAAGTGGTGGTGAGCTGCTGTCTTGAACAGCTGTAGTCCATGTAGTCCATTTAATGGTGTATTCAGCAACAGGGTGGCTTCTGGCAGTCCAGAGTGGCTATCTTTTCCTGGTGTGGTAGTCTCAACCCTGTGGAAATGGTCTCCTGGCGTGGCGGTTTTGTCCCGGTGTTGAGGTCTTGTTGGCGGTCTGGCTTAATCTCCGGCGAAAGCTTCCAGCCTAGTGTTCTGACCGCCTGGCGTGGGGTCCTCGTCCAGGTTGGTGGTCTTTTCCTGGTGGTGTTTTCTTTGGCAGATGCTTTTGGTCCGGCGTTGCGACAGCCCAGCGTGGTGCTTTTCGTCCAGGGTAGCGGTCTTGTCCCGGTGGCTGTTTTGTTCATTGGCGGCTTTCGGCCCGGTTGTTCCAGCAGCCTGGCTTGTCAGTTTCATCCCGGCGTGGCATATTCATCATGGATTGATGGTCTCATTCTGGCTGTGTGTTTCATCTCTTGATCAGCTTCCTCCGAAACCAGGAGCTGTTAAATGGACTGTGATGAACTTTTGTCTTAAATTTACCTTTTACTGTTACTTATGAATTTACTTATGACTTCTGTCATTAATACAGGCGCCATGGTAAGATGACTAATAACTCTTTTCATTGACTTTTTTTGTAAAAGTTCACATGACAATAAATTCTAACTTCTAAATATAGTGCAGATACAGCCACATTGTTGTTATGGAGGGAGTTACAGGATTTTGACCCAGTAACACTAAAGGAACAGTGAAGTATTTCCGAGTAAGGGTGGTGATTATCTTGGAAGAGAGCTTGCAGGTGTTGGTGTTCCCATGCACCTGGCTGCCCTTGTCGTATGAGCTGGTAGAAGTTGAAGGATTGGAGAGGAGGAACCTTAGTGGGTGCACCTTGTAGATGGTACACACTGCTGCCGCTGTGTGTCAGTGATGGAGGAAGTGAATGTTTAAGGTGGTCACTGGCTGCTAATCATGTGAGCTGCTTTGCCTTGGATGGTGTCAAGGTTCTGGGGTGTAGTTAGAGCTGCACTCATTCAGGAGATTGGAGAGTATTTCATCTTTGTTGCCTTGTTAGATGGGGAACAGGCTTTGGAAAGTCAGTAGGTGAGTTATTTTCTGAAGACTTTGAAGTTCTGACCTGTTTTTGTATCCCCAGCATTGAAAATGGCTAGTCCAGTTGAGTTTTTGTTTAATGGTACCCGGCAGGTTATTGATACTGAGGAATTCAATTATGATAATATCATTGAGTATCAAGGGGAGATGGTTAGATTGTTTCTCATTTATGACGGTCATTGCCTGGCACTTATGTGGTAATAGTATTATCAGCCCAAGTTTGAACGTAGTCTAGGTCTTGTTGCATATGGGCATGGACTACTTGAGCATCTAAGGGGTGGTAAATGATGCCTAGCATGGTGTAATCTTGAGCAAATATGCCCATTTCTAACTTTATGATGGAAAGGATGTAAATGATGAAGCAGCTGAAGGTGGCTGGGCATAGGACAAAGTCTCTAAGGGGTTCTCCAATCCCTCTGTCCCTCACCCCTTGATGGTCTGCATGATCTTAATGGGCTTTGCACATAAATTAATCAATTGGAAAACACAGGGGATTTAGTGGTGGTAGTTAATAGATGGAAAAAAAATACCACTAGTGATTTGGTGATGGGGAATAAAAATACACTGTGGAACTTGTGCAGTGATGTCCTGGGACTGAGATGAGTGGCTTCTAAGAACCTGAATCATCTTCCTTCAGTCTAGGTATGATGCAGTCAGTGGAGTGATTTTTCCCTCATTCCCACTGGCTTTAATGTTGCTATGACTCCTAGTCATCATTCTCAGTTGACTGCTATCTTTATATCAAAGCCAGTCACTCTTACCACACCTTCTGAGTTCTACGCTTTTGTCCATGTTTGGATCAAGGTAGCTTATGAAGTCTGGAGATGTGTGGTTTTGATGGATTGTAAACTGAAACCAGCGAGCAGGTTAGTGCTGAGTGTCGCTTGTTAGCACTGTTGACGTTCCCTTTCATCACTTTGGTGGTGATCAACACTCGGCTGAATTGGGGTAGGAATTGACTAGGTTGGATTTGTCCTGTTTATTTTATGGACAGGACATACCCAGTCAATTCTCTAAATTGCTGGATAGATGCCAAAATTACAGAACACCAGCAAAGCCAATTCTGGTTAAGCGTATGTTGATTAGGATTGGATTGATTTTTATTGTCATGCGAACCGAAATACAGTGAAAAGCTTTGTTTATGAGTGGTACAGGCAGATCACAGCAAGCAAAGGATGTACAGATCAAAAAGACTTAGAGGCATACAGGTTACATTGCAGGTTACCATTATTTGAGGCTAGAGTCCATTCAACAGTCTGATAATGGCCAGAAAGAAGCTGTTCCTGAACCTGATTTGTGCGTGTGTTCAGGCTGCAGTATCTTCTGCCTGATGGAAAAGGTTGTTGGGGATCATAACCGGGGTGCAATGGGTCCACGATGATGTTGGCTGCCTTTCCACGGCATGGATGGAAGGTTGGCTTCTGTGATGGTCTAGGCTGTACAAATCACCTTCTGTAGTTTCTTATGGTCCTGGGCAGAGCAGTTGCGGTACCAGACCGTTATGGACCCAGACAGTATGCTTTAAATGGTGTATCTGTAGAAATTGGTGAGGGACCTTATGGACATGCCAAATTTCCTGAGCCGCCTGAGGAAGAAGAGGCATTGTTGTGCCTTCTTGACCATCGCATCTACGCGGGAAGTCCAGGAGAGGTTGTCAGTTATTGTCACTCCAAGGAACTTGATGCCCTTCGCCCTCTCAACCTCAGTTCTGTTGATGTAAATGGGGGTGTGTTCTCCTCCTTTCTTTCTGAAGTCAATGATCAGTTCTTTAGTTTTGCTGATATTGAGAGACAGATTGTTTTCATTGCACCACATCACCAAGCCCTCTATCTCCCTTCTGTATTTTGACTCATCATTGTTAGATATTAGTCATTTCAGTTACGATTTAGAAAAAAAGCTAATGTTTTATGGTTGTTCGGGCATTAGTAAAAGAGGAACATTTTACCATGCCTAACAGAAATATCCAGAAACACTTCACATAAAATGAATAACTTCTTTAAATTTATATATGGGATGTGGGAGTCACTGGCAGGGCCAACATTCCTAACTTGCCTTGAACTGAGTGGCTTACTTGACCTTTTTAGAGGATAGTTAAGGGTCAACTTCATTGCTGTGGGTCTGGAGGCACATATAGGCCAGACCGGATGAGGACAAACAGCATTTTCATTTCTTAAATAGCATTAGTGAACCAATAGGTTTTACAACAATTGACAGTGGTGTTACATGATTGCCAGTCAACCAGCTTTGATTTCCAGATTATATTGAATTTGAATTCCATCACCTGCCATTCAAACCCATGTCCCAAGAACATTAATTTAAAGCTTTGATTGCCAGTCTAGTGATACTGTCACTACACCATGGCCAATTAGAAGTACAACCATTGTATGATGTGGAAAGGCATTTGAACATTGTTCCAGAAGGTAATGTTTCAAACACTTAGTTCAAGCAAATTTACAGTTAAAAAAAATTCTGGAGAATGTGTAACTTTAATATTTACACAGGCATGTTAATGAGCAGAGAGCTGTTAAGCCAGTTCATTCAATTAACAGTTGAATATTTTCAAAGGCAAGTCAGGACTTGTAAATCTGATGCTTGAGCATGGATTGCAGGCATGGCTTAAAGTTATAGTAGCCTTTCCTTCATTTAGGCACGTACTGGAATAGATGGACTTTTTCTTTAATGTATCAGAAAACAACAGTTTGACTCAGCTGTTAGTACTGCCACCTTCAAGTTAGGAGATTTCTATTTTTTGCTTTTCATCCATGTGCAAAGTGGGTGTTTGCTGGCTGGGTCAGCATTTATTGCCCATCCCTAGTTGCCCTTGAGAAGAACAAAGAACAAAGAAAATTACAGCACAGGAACAGGCCCTTCAGCCCTCCAAGCCTGCGCCGATCCAGATCCTCTATCTAAACCTGTCACCTATTTTCCAAGGATCTGTATCCCTCTGCTTCCTGCCCATTCATGTATCTGTGTAGATACATCTTAAATGATGCTATTGTGCCTGCCTCTACCACCTCCACTGGCGGTGGTAGAGACGGCGGTAGAGGTGTTGGTGAGCTGCCTTCTTGAACCGCTGCCGTCCACATGCTGTAGGTTGACCACAACCCTGTTAGGGAGGGATTTCCAGGATTTTGATGCAGCAACAATGAAGGAACAGTCATATTGTTCCAAGTCAGGATGCTGTGTGGTTTGGAAGGGAATTTGCATGTGGTGGTGTCCCTATGTATCTGCTGCCCTTATCTTTCCAGATGGAAGTGTCATTAATTTGGAACGTGCTATGTAAGGATCTTTGGTGAATTTCTGTAGTTCAACTTGTAGCTGGTATACACTGCTACTACTGAGCGTTGCTGGTGGAGGGAGTGGCTGTTTGTGGATGTGATGCCAATCACGTAAGCTGCTTTGTCCTGGATGGTGTCAAGCTTCTTGAGTGTTGTGGGAGTTACACTCAACAAGACAAGTGGAGAGTATTCCATTATGCTCCTGACTTGTGCGTTGTAGATGGTGGATAGGCTTTTGGGAGTCAGGAAGTGAGCTTTGTGCAGTGTTCGCACCTCTGACCTGCTCTTATAACAGTTGTATTTAAATTGTGAATCCAGTTGAGTTTCTGGCCAATGGTACCCCCAACTGGATATTGATAGTGAGGGATTCAGTGATGATAATCCCATTGCTCCTAATTCCTCTCCAAATTTGAACTTCTTAACTAAACTGATGCAATAAAACATTGGGCATTGTTACAGGATTTTGCGCTGCTGATCTCTTTTAGAGGGCTGTTGAATTGAGACCCCTGTCCATTCTATTGTCATCTTTCCATATAAGTTATTAATCTTGTTGTAATATTTAATAAAAAATGTTCACTTGATTCCTGGCTAACATTACCTAATCTAACATCACCAAAAACGGATCAACTTGTCTTTTATCCTCTTACTGCTTGTTGAGTTTTTTGTTCACAAAAATCATCTCCACTTTTGCCCATGTAATTGTACAAAGTGTAATTGTTAGAAACAAAATGGCCTATGTTCCAAAAGTAATGCGTGCACTATTCACTTATTAAATAAATTTCAATACTGTACCTTTATTATATCTGCTGTAGATCTTTCTGCTGCTTTCAGTTTCTTCAATAACATTTGTTCATTAAGTGAAACTTGGGCTTCTTGGTTTTCAAGAGATTTAATTTCTTCTTCAAGCCTAAAAATAGCATGTAAGTTCAGAATGTAATACAGCTTTAAAAAATAAATAAAAGTTTAACGATACATTATTTATTTGCTGAATTCTAGCCTTCAGCTAAATGAACTTGCTCTTGCCAAACATGTTTGTACCGGGTAGAAATCTGATATGAACTTACCTTATGTGGCAAAAAGTTTGACTGCCAATAATAGTATTCTGTAAATTGGATCACACATTAGTGATCAGCATTCTGAGTAGACTATTGTGCATATTAAGCATCGTGTGTAATTGCAAATACTGTATAGTTTATGCATGTGTGCTTGAAAGCAGGTTCTTGCTTCTGTTGAGGGTTTGTCCTGAGCCATTCTCATCAATGGTGGTTTACCATTGCCATCCATTCTCAGGGCAGGAGCAGGAGGTAGGTCTACTTGGGAATCATACCTACACTGCTGACATGATTTAAAACTGCATGCTAGCCATCTATTCAACTGAATGGTCCACACTGTTTTCTTTATTGAGGTGTAAATATAATGTCAGAGCATTTTAGACTGCATTTTCAGGGTATTCCATCGTTCCTTAATCGGCTTTCCCAGAGCCCAGGAGCCGTTAACTGAACTGTGATGGACTTTTTCTCGATTTTATTCTTTTTTGTTATTATGCATGACCTATGTCGTTGATGTAGGCATTGTGGCGGGGCGACTTAATAAAACTTTTCATTGTATTTTTCATGTAAAAGTACACATGACAATAAATGAATCTTCTCATTCTATGTTAATTGTTAAATAGGAAATATTAGCTTATTTATTGTGTATTCTATTTCATAGCATATGCATACCATATTATCTACCTTAGCATAAGAACCTCATCATCAGTTCGTAAGGATTTTCATGCCTGTGTGGGCTGCATTGGATAAAAGACGTATAATTTTATTTATGAATTTCTCACCAGCAAAGTTTTTTCTAATGACCTCTTTAAAGCAAGTATGTTGGAACATAATAAGAAGAATGAAAGAATGGTAATTTTCCTATTTAGCCAGTTCATTCCTAAGACCATTAAATGATTTTTACTTAATTTGTTTTGTCCATGATGAGAGACAGCAAATAACAGTTAAACTCTCAAGAAAATAAAATTCTGCTAAATTCTCCCCAAGATAATCCGGTTAAATGCTACAAACATAATGACAATCTGATCATTTTTTTTTACAGCATTACTGTATTCAGCTCAGTTGCTTTTCACGCAGACATTTTTAGAAACAGAATACGGTTTACATACCTAACTTTACTGACTTTCATTTTATGGCAAACTGAAAACTGATTAAAGATATGCAATAGCTTTCAATTTGATACCTTGAAACAGTTAAAATAATATTTGGGTCTTTGTCAGGACCCTCAGGTGTTGGTTGAAAGGCTCCCCTACAGCCACCTCTACCTGGTGATGTATGTCCTCCATGAACATGATCTCTATAATTCTTCCTGATACTGCCACGTGCAAGATATCTGTGTTCTTTATCTTCAAATTATTTTTCATGTATGTGATGATTAGCACTGTTGTGACTCTGTTGCCCTGTTGTAGCCCCTAAACATAGCCTTACTACATTAGAATGTGCTGTGAGTATCATCATTTTGAGTCCTTAACTTTCATAGACAGGGACCTGTATATGAGTAACACAATGGCTCAGTGGTTAGCACTGCTGCCTCACAGCACCAGGGACCCCATGTTCAATTCCAGCTTTGAGCGATTGTCTCTGTGAAATTTGCACATTGTCTATGTGGGTTTCCTTCTCACAGTCCAAGGATGTAAAGGTTAGGTGGATTGGCATGCTAAATTGCCAATAATGTCCAGGAACATGCAGGTTAGGTGAATTAGCCTTGGGAAATGCAGGGTTAGGAGGATTGGGTAGGGGTGGGATGCTCTTCAGAGGGGTGGCATGGACTTGATGGGCTGAATGGCCTGCTTACACTCTGAAGAGATTCTATGGATAATCCTACACAATTGAACGTACAACGACTTTCCCAGCAGCATGAGCTTTGAGGAAGAGGTACACTGTATGTAGTCAGGTTGGTTAATACACATGTTCCCAATTTTTGACTACCAAGATTTTGCCCATAATTCCAGTAGAACGGGGTGCTAATGAATATTTATAACATGCTGATGAACACTAAAAGGTTTCTACAGTGAAAGTTGGGAACACTGTTCCATCTGTAAAGCTGTGAGGACTTAATAGCAAAATTTTAACTGACTGCTAGGGGGCTGAACCTTTGTCCCCTGCCCTTTGTCCCCCAACGCTCTGCCCTTCTAAATACTCCAGGTAGGAGTGGAAAATCCTGCCTATTAACTCTGTTTCTCTCTATAGCTGCTGTCTGACCTACTGAGCTTTTCCAGCTCTTGTTTCATTTTTACAGAATCTTCAGTGTTTTGCTTTTGTGCAACCATATTTTCCATTTACTTGTCATTTTCCCCTTAATGTAATTGTATTGGATACCTTGACACAGTTAAAATAATATCTGGGTCTTTATCAGGACCCTCAGGTTTACTAGATTGGTTCCAGAGAAGAGGAGTTTGTCTTATGAAGAGAGATTGAGCAGTTTAGGCCTATATTATGTGGAATTTAGGAGAGTGAACAAAGATGGTAAATGAGTTGTAGGGTTATGGAGAGTGGGCAGGAAAGTGGAGTTGAGTCTGAGATGAGATCAGCCATAGTCATATGAAATGCTGGAACAGGCTTGAGGGGCTGAATAGCCTATTCCTGTTCCGAGCTCTTATTTTCTTCATGATAATAGAACTTAAAGCTGATGAACCATAAACCAGGCTTACTTCCATTACAAGACAACAAGGTGCAGGGCTGGATGAACACAGCAGGCCAAGCAGCATCATAGGAGCAGAGAGGCTGACGTTTCGGGCCTAGACCCTTCATCAGAAAAGGGGGAGGGGAAGGGGGTTTTGAAATAAATAGGGAGAGAGTTGGAGGCGGATAGAAGAGGGATAGAGGAGAGGATAGGTGGAGAGGAAACAAACAGGTCGAAGAGGCGGGGATGGGGCCAGGAAAGGTGAGTGTACGTAGGGAGTTAGGAAGGGGATAGGTCAGTCCAGGGAGGACGGACAGGTCAAGGGGGCGGGATGAGGTTGGTCGGTAGGAGATGGAGGTGCGGCTTGGGGTGGGAGGAGGGGATAGGTGGGAGGAAGAACAGGTTAGGGAGGCAGGGACGAGTTGGACTGGTTTTGGGATGCGGTGGGGGGAGGGGAGATTTTGAAACTTGTGAAATCCACATTGATACCATTGGGCTGCAGGGTTCCCAAGCGGAATATGAGTTGCTGTTCCTGCAACCTTCGGGTGGCATCGTTGTGGCACTGCAGGAGGCCCAGGATGGACATGTCGTCTGAGGAATGGGAGGGGGAGTTGAAATGGTTCGCGACTGGGAGGTGCAGTTGTTTGTTGCGAACCGAGCGTAGGTGTTCTGCAAAGCGGTCCCCGAGTCTCCGCTTGGTTTCCCCGATGTAGAGGAAGCCACACCGGGTACAGCGGATGCAGTATACCACATTGGCAGATGTGCAGGTGAACATCTGCTTGATGTGGAAAGTCTTCTTGGGGCCTGGGATGGGGGTGAGGGAGGAGGTATGGGGGCAGGTGTAGCACTTCCTGCGGTTGCAGGGAAAAGTGCCGGGTGTGGTGGAGCTGGAGGGGAGTGTGGAGCGGACAAGGGAGTCACGGAGAGAGTTGTCCCTCCGGAAAGCAGATAAAGGTGGGGAGGGAAAGATGTCTTTGGTGGTGGGGTCGGATTGCAGATGGCGGAAGTGTCGGAGGATGATGCGTTGGATCCGGAGGTTGGTGGGGTGGTACGTGAGGACGAGGGGGATTCTTTTTTGGTTTTTATTGCGTGGACGGGGTGTGAGGGATGAGGTGCGGGAGATGTGGGAGACATGGTTGAGGGCGTTCTCGACCACCGAGGAGGGGAAGTTACGGTCCTTGAAAAACGAGGACAACTGAGATGTACGGGAGTGGAATGCCTCATCCTGGGAGCAGATGCGGCGGAGGCGAAGGAATTGGGAATAGGGGATAGCATTTTTGCAGGAAGGTGGGTGGGAGGAGGAGTATTCTAGGTAGCTGTGGGAGTCGGTGGGCTTGAAATGAATATCGGTTTCGAGGTGGTTGCCCGATATGGAGACAGAGAGGTCCAGGAAGGGGAGAGAGGTGTTAGAGATGGTCCAGGTAAATTTAAGGTTGGGGTGGAAGGTGTTAGTGAAGTGTATGAACTGTTCGAGCTCCTCGTGGGAGCACGAGGCGGCGCCGATACAGTCATCAATGTAACGGAGGAAGAGGTGGGGTTTAGGGCCGGTGTAGGTACGTCCATTAGCTCATCCAATTTTGCTGCTTCATTCATCTGAGATATACATTTCTGGGGCAGTAAAATTACAGACATTTGAGATGCTGTTATAAACTAAAGGAATTGCTGGAGACAAAGAGATTTTACACAGTGTGTATGATGACTGTCATATTGTCAGTTGCACTTATTTTTGTTTGGCTTTTTGGGTAATATAGGGGATTTGCACATAGGGAAAATTATGTCAACATTTTCAATATGTGTTTCTGACAAGCAAAGAGAGCAAATGCATAATTGCAGCCCTTTTGTCCCTAGCCTTCGCACGCATTTCTACCCCTTTTGAATGAATCTCATTGACGCATAGATGAAGGACACTTTAAAACACCAAAACTATCCTCTCAGGATACACCCTCACCTCTAAACAGTGCCTTCCACTGGCAGTCTGCCTAAAATTACTTTCTGTGTAATTTCAGGGCATTAACTTACATCCCATTCCTCTCTGAACCTGACTCTTCTCCTTATTCTATTAATTTTAAAACAGGAATTCTTCCTGATCTTTTTTTGAATGAATTAAAGTGTTAATGAGTTAGTGACAAACCTATCTCCTCAATTTGTCTGTTCACTTGAATTGCGAGGCCTTCAGACTGCATATATAAACTTTACTTTCTTTTTGCAGATACCGCCTGACCTGCTGAAAATGTT